GGGGGCAGGGGAAGGTGGGGGACCCCCGTCTGTCCGGTGTCATGTCCTCCCTTTGCCAAGCACAAGGAAAGGGCCCAACATTCCATCCTCTCCAGCCGCGGGGTCCGGTTCCGGTGGCGCGGTGGGGGGCTCCAGCTGCTGGGTTGTGGGGGGACGACATGGGGGGGGGTCGGCTCCTGCCCCCCAGGAATCACCAGGGCTGCGTGGGGAGCGGCTGGCTCACCACCGGGGCCCCCTCCATGGGCAGGACGGTGACGGCCGACGTGGGCGGGGCCGCTGCTGCTGCCAGGGGGCACAGCTCGCCCGTACCTGTGGGGGGAGACAGAGATCAGGGGGGGTTTGCCTCCCATACCCTGTTAACTCTGAACCCTACTGACCCACACCGCCCTGACAGACAGGACGTGCTCTCCTGCCCACAAAGCGTTTACACACGCGGACCGAGCGTCAAGCCTGTCCTGACACCAGCTCCTTTGATCTCGGGGCGCAGGGCCCAGACGCAGCCATCCCCGGACGCCGGGGTTCCCTACAGACCTTGGGGCGCATGGCCCAGATGCAGCCGTCCCTGGACGCCAGGTTTCCCTTCAGACCTTGGGGCGCAGGACCCAGATGCAGCCGTCCCCGGACGCCGGGGTTCCCTACAGACCTCGGGGTGCAGGGCCCAGACGCAGCCATCCCTGGATGCCGGGGTTTCCTACAGACCTTGGGGCGCATGGCCCAGATGCAGCCGTCCCCGGACGCCGGGGTTCCCTACAGACCACGGGGCGCAGGGCCCAGATGCAGCTGCCCCCAGGACTCCTGGGTTCTCTACAGACCTTGGGGTGCAGGGCCCAGAGGCAGCTGCCCCTGGATGCCGGGGTTCCCTACAGACCTCAGAGCGCAGGGCGAGGCAGCCGCCCCCGGATGCCGGGGTTCCCTACAGACCTCAGGGCCCAGATGCAGCTGCCTCCGGAAGCCAGGGTTCCCTATGGACCTTGGGGCCCAGAAGCAGCTGCCCCTGGACGCCGGGGTTCCCTACAGACCTCGGAGCCCAGGGCCGAGGCAGCTGCCCCCAGACGCCGGGGTTCCCTACAGACCAGGGATCGGCAACCTTTGGCACGTGGCTCGCCAGGGTAAGCCTCCTGGCTGGCCGGGCTGGTTTGTTTACCTGCCAAGCACAGTTCGCCGCTCCAGGCCAATGGGGGCTGTGGGAAGCGGCGTGGGCCGAGGCATGTGCTGGCCGCCACTTCCCGCTGTCCCCATTGGCCTGGAGCGATGAACCGCAGCCAGTGGGAGCCGCCATCGGCCGAACCTGCCGATGCGGCAAGTAAACAAACCGGGAGCTTTCCCTGGCGAGCCACGTGCCAAAGGTTGCCGATCCCTGCTCTAGACCTTGGGGCGCAGCCGCCCCTGGACGCCGGGGTTCCCCCTCCCCCAGTAGGTGAGCAGCTTGCCTGTCCCCGGCGATTCACCGCAGCGGTTGGGCCTCAGCGGGCGCGGCCCCGGCCCCCTCTCCGGCTCCGGCCCCGGCCCCGGCGTGCGTCTGCAGGTGCCCGTTGAGCTGGGCCGGGGTCTTACAGTGCACGCCGCACAGCTTGCACAGGAAGCGCTCCACCCGCGGGGCCGACAGTCCGTGGTCCTTGACTGCGTGCACCCGGAGGTAAGCCGCTGTGGTGAACCCTACGGGGGGGCGAGAAGGACAAACCACCAGGTCAGCCTGTTCTACTCTGCCACTGCGGCGCTCTGCCCCAGAGGCGGCTGGGTCTCAGCACCGGGCGAGGGGACCCCCTACGGAAAGCCCCGGCGCCCCGCCCCGGAGGCAGCTGCGTCTCAGCACCGGGCGAGGGGTCCCCCTACGGAAAGCCCCGGCGCCCCGCCCCGGAGGCGGCTGCGTCTCAGCACCGGGCGAGGGGTCCCCCTACGGAAAGCCCCGGCGCCCCGCCCCGGAGGCG